TGAGCCCTTGCACAAGCCCAGGCCATCAGCCCCAAAGGAGCCACACTGCACATGGAGGGTTGGAGACTTCTACTTCCCCAGAGCCCTAAATCTGCCCTTCACCTTCAGCAGGACCCTGGGGCTGAACTGTCCTTGGTGGAGATGCAATATTTTAGAGCCCAGAAAAATGGGGCTGTGGGGTGGCCTGCAGGAGGTCACTGTGACAACTGGTGTAACCGGGATCCTTTGATGACCATTAACAACCCTTGCAGCTACTGAGTGCTGTCTGGTTTGTAGGAACAGCCAGACCTGGCGTTGCATGGCTGAGGATGGAGTTGCAGGAGCGCTCTGCTCCTCACGTAGCAGCACAGAGCTTTGGCCAGGCACAACCCGCTGAGCCCCAGGGGCAGGAGCTGCAGGAGGCAGGCAGGGATGCAGAGCAGGGCTCTGCTCTGTTGTGATGGGAAGGGCTGTGTGGCCTCCAGCCCTGCTCCTCACATGCCAAAGGGGAGGGCATGTAACAGAGTTTTCCAGTCAAATTCACTTTGCTGCTAGTAGAGTTAAGATATGCTCCCTTTGCTAGTCCTGTCAAAGCCTCCTGTCTGTCCGTGTATATATCTATCTATCTATATACATACACGCCGTTCATCACACCAGAATCCAAGTGACCTGGAGTAGCACAGTACAAACATTGTAGATCCTATATAAACAGAGGTTATATATATTTTCCTCATTTATTCCTCTCCAGCAGAAAAGTGGTCTCTTTCACAAGGAAAAATAAACGAACACAATGGCAATCCTGAGTTCAGCAAGTGTTTCCTAGCAGATTTTAACCATGTTAAGTTAGGTGGTTGTAAACAGACTGACAGCACGCCTCCCAACCTTTGAAATTCCTTACAGTCAGTTTCCTGTCTCAAATTCACACCATAGCATTTCCACCGGGGCCTTAAATTAATGCCCGGCTGGGGTGCATAATTACCAGCTCCCTAATGGGCCAAAACATCCTGAAGGGCTGAAGTTTCCTTTTTGATTTGTGGCTCTGAGTCGGAGTTGCAATTACCAAATTGATTTTAAATGCAGGCTTCGCTGACAGACTATTGGCAAACGGCATCTCGGAGTCTTCAGCCATTCATAAAAAAGGAGGAAGCCCTTGATGAATATACCTTGATCTGCAGCTGCTGTTTATTTAATACAATTTATGGGCAACGGTATTAGGTTTTATCAGGGAGCTGCAGCTTTAGAAACATTGCTTTGGCAGAAGTGGTTGAGTTGAACAGTTGGGTCATTGCTGTGAGCTGCTGGAATCGCTTTCTCACACGAAGACCCCTCTGCTCTGCCCTGCTCTGCTCTCCTTTCCTTGACTGCTCTGCCCCACAGCCTGAGAAACGGGGCCATGCTGGTCTCTGCCTTCCAGCTCCATGGCCAGTGTCTGATCCCTGGGTGCAACAAATCCGTTTCTCTCTGAACGTTTGGCTTCTGGCACAATGGAGCCCGGACATCCTAGGGAGGTTCTGTGGGGTTACTCTCTCGATGTGATGAGGGTTTGCTGCTTTGGTGCCCCTCTTTTTTTGTGTGATTTGTGAGAAGGATGATTAACCCACAAGTAGAAGGAACTGGAGCCTTCCAAGCTTGGAAGGAGAGCCCCAGAGATGGGCAGGAAGGGTAGGAAAGCATTATCATCATCTCCTTTGTTGAGCAAGTGGGACAGCTGGCTGAAAGTGGGAGCTGTGAGGCTGAACTCAGAAGCACAGTCCCAAAGCTGTGTAAGAAGTGGGAGAGCTGTGACCGGCAGACACTGTGACCAGCCCAGCAAGACGAACATTGGCTGGGTGGCTAGGATCACTGCTCTGCACATCCATCCATCCATCCATCCATCCATCCATCCATCCATCCATCCATCCATCCATCCATCCCACGGGGCTTTAGCAGCCCCCAGGAATGAGGAACACTCTGAGAAGTTCCTCTCCGTTGGGGTGAAAGCTCTAGGAGCTGGCATTCCCCAGCCTTCTGCTGAGAACCTGAAGCAGTCACAGGATAATCACAAGGCCCTGGGAAACTCTGTGCTTCCAGACAGTGCTACGCTGCAGTGGCAATGCTAAGTTATGGCCTGAAGCAGTGATGGAGCACCTGGTGGGAAGGCAGGTCCAACTCAGAGGAGCTCAGGTGCATGCAATGGTCTGAGTGATGAAAGGGATGGAGCCAGGATCCACCCCTGCTCAGCCCTCATTTAAGGGTTGGCAGTGGATGTAAAGGTATCTTGCTGGAGGTTTCTGCTTACCTGAGGCATTCTAAAGGTAAGCAATTTTTCTTCCTTTTCTTTCTGTGTCCATGGTAGCTGCTTTTGGGCTTATCCTCATTTGCTGCACCCTGGGACTCTGCCACTTTGCTATTATTGCTGTACTTTCCATCATGTTGCAGCATTATGTTCATAAATTGACTGCTTGTCATCTCTTCCCTTCTGTCCAACACAAACTTTGCATCCATCCTTCCATGAGCTTACTGATCTCTGCAGAGCCTGAGGTTTCCCAGCACCCAGTCAGAGCAGTTCAGCCTTTAGGTCATCTTGGTACTGAGTGGCCATTCATGCAGAGCTGAGCCACAAGAGTTCTCTCCCTCTACTTAATGCTCTACCATAATGCTAAACGATCTTTTTTGGGGGATCTGGACACCTTTCTACAGTGGCTTCATTTTTTATTTTGGAGACTCTCATTTTGGTTACCCATCTGCAGGAAGGCTGACAGAGTTTATCTTGCCTTCAGCCAGCACTGGAAGCTGCTGATTAAGGCAGAAAATATGATGGATCTTAGCAGCGAAGGTACTTCACTGCTATCAGCTGCTCCCTTTCCTCTCTGGAGATGGGAGGACAGATCGCCCTGTTGGCATCCTGCTGGGCTCAGACATCCAGAATCATCCAGGGTGACCTGGGGGGGAGGGGGAAAGGGGACAGAGCCTGGAGGAAGGGTGCTGTTAAGGGGTTCCCAGAGAACTGTGGGACCTGGCTGGGTCAGTGTGAAGGGCTGGAGTTCTTGGTGGCAGGAAGAGAGAGTGCAGGCAGGGATGGGGGGCACTGGGGCAGATAGGGGTGGAACCCATATTCCCATAGGAAATGCAAAGTGTGGCTCTGCTCTGGGTCTTCCCTGGCCTGTGGAATCCCTGCTAGTGTTTCAGGAGGGGCAGGTGTCCTGAGCTCTGCAAGGTGATTGGGGTGTATGTGAGGCTCCCTGCTCCTGCAACCATGGCTCTGAGGTGGTGGCAAGATCTGCTACCGATCCATGCTGGCCCTTTGTTGGGGTGAGACTTGCAGATGAATGGTGTCTGCAGGGTCAGGCAGCCTGGGGAAAGGTGTGGGAGAGGCTGGCTGATATGGGAGCAAATAGTTTGGCTGCCTCTATGGAAAAGTACCTGGTCTGTTTTGTTTCCTAGATTAGTGATGAAGGATAAGGATTTGGGAGAAAGGGAGGGAGAGCTGCAGTTAATCCACTGATTAACCTGAGGAGAGATAGGCAGAGGTTAAATCAAAGCAGAAGGGTGAAAGAAAGAAGCCAGCATCACCTGCCCCAGCCACAACACAGAACTGTCATGGCCCAGCCCAAGCATAACTGTGGCTATGGGGCATTGGGAACATATGGAGGGCAAAAGGAGAGCACAGATGGAGGGGAGCAGGGCCTACGTCCTGCAGGGAAACACTGAGGCTTGCCTCTCTCTTGCTGGACCTACGTGCCTAAGGCTGGGGACCCAGGGGGGCATTGCCTGAAGGTGACACAGGTGGAAGTGCGATGTGTTCTGGGGATCATCGTGGTGGATTCTGCTATTGCACCAGGATGCTGTGATGTTTTCCAACCAGTGGAGGGGAGAAAAGGGGAAGAGAAGAGGACATAGGTAAAGGATTAACCCTGCAACAGCCATGGGCAGGATGTCCTGCCCCAGAGCTGCCCAGCCAGGGCTCCCAAGCCTCACTGTGGGCTGCTGGGAAGTGACATTTGCAGGACCCACCCTTTAAACAGGGATGAGAGAAATCCTGTGCTCTGCAAACTAAACACATCTGCTTTGGGAGGCATTTGGAAACAGATCTGAATGTTGGGGACTGGGTCCGATCTCAGCATGGAGGGACGGGAGGCTGGGAGATAAGGGCATATCCCATTTCGTGGGATCTGGCACAGCTCGGGCTGCTTAAAGCCACAGAGCGTGATTTGGGTTCATCGCTGCTGTAAGCAAAGTCGTCCCCTGCATTTCAGAGCAGGAGCCTGGCAGCCCCGTGAGCTCTGTGGGTCCATGCAGGGGGGCTCTTTTCACCCCATGGTTATGAGTGCACGGGGCAGGGCTGAGGTTCAGGACACACTGCTGAGACAGTCAGCTCAATGGCCAGGAAGCCTGACTGCCTTCTGGCCAAGGCCACCAAAGCTCTGTGGATACACAAGGCTGATCTGCTGGTGTCCTCAGAGTGCACTGGGGGTGGCTGTGCCCTGATGTCCCACTGCCCTGAGCTCACAAGCTGAGCTTTGTATCGTTAAATATGTGTCCAAATGGGGGGGGGGAACATGCACAGAACCCATCCTAAATCAACTCATCCTCTCAGTGGATGAAGTGCTTCTCCCCCTATTGTGTTGCCACGCATAATTGCTAGCACATTGCTGTCCAGTACGTGGGAATGTGTGTGAGATGTGTGCTGCAGCACTGCTGGGTGGCACAGCCTGGGCTGTGTGGTGCTGTACTGGGAAATATCTGCAGGGCTCCGCATTGCGTTGGGGTGTCACTGTGCACGGTGTGGGTGCTGCTGTGTGCAACTCATGGGTGCACACATTTCTGCTTTGGTTGCTATCATTACCATGTATTTACAAGGCACGAGGCTGTGCTTTTCTTGAAGAGGGTATTTATACACCAGCAACATGTCATGCTTTGCATTAGTCTGGCCAAATTACAACTTCAAAGCTCTCAGATTCGGAGGGGGCTCCCGTCTCTCCCTGGTGGAGGAGCAGCCACAGGTCTGAAAGGTTTCTTATTTATTTTTTTTTTTTTTTCAGCTTGGAGCTGAGGAACCGCTTTCCATCTGGAACCATGCGGAATTTCTGCATTTGAGATATTTAACCTGACTTTAATTTGAGTCGAAACGTCTGATATTTCTGATAGTAATACCGTGCCGGGGATGGGGGGGGGGGGACCGGCAGCTCTCCCTTCACCCGCCCCAGCCGGTCCCTGTTAAGCGATTCCTGACATGCGAGCGGCAGACGGGGCCGGAGCCTGATCGGATCTGGGCAGCCGCCGGGCGGTGGCAGCGTGAGGGGTCCGAAGAAACCCAATCGCTCCCACGGCTTCCTCCGGCCTCGTCCCTGCGCTGCCCTGGGGAAGTGCTGCTGGGAGCTGCCAGCGTCCTGCGGGCTCGTTTTGTTTTGGTTTGGAATGCCACAGTTGCGAAATCTCAATGTAAAGTTCCCCCGTACTGCGGCCCCTTCCTTACGCTTCATTGTTGTCTTAGAAGAAAGCGTTACTTGAAGAAACATTGTGTCACTGCAAATGGGGCTTTCTGACGCTGGCACAGACTCTGAGGAAGACTCTGTAATCCAAACGAAGCTGAGACCAAGACCGGCCCTTGTCCTGCAGGGGGTTCAGATGATGCAGGGTCTGAGGAAATCCCCTCCTTCCTCCCCACGCCCGTTGCGATGGGCAGGGAGCACCGGCTGTGCTGGAGCAAAAGATCCCAATGGATCAGGACCAGTGCTCAGGCATCAGAGTGGGGGACAACGCATGGGTACCTGGAGAGGTGGGGACGGAGAGGCAGACCAAAGCCAGGATGGGGCTGCAGTGGTGGGGAAGGGCCTCCAGCCTGCAAAGTAAGGGTTTGTGGGGCTGCTTCCTGGCTCAGGCATTAAAACCTCACTGGGTTGTTATAATCTGTGTTAGATTTAAACAGTGCAATAAATGCTTCAGTTTATTGATGCCAGACTGCAGACAATTACAGCTGAAGTCACCAATGGATTGGTGCGTGATGAGAACCCAAATGGCTCAGGAAGGGATGCTGGGGGTGGCGGGAGGAGGGGGCTGCATGCTGCTGTCCCACCCTGGGATCATCAGGCCTCTCCTAGGCAGAGACCTGGCCCTGAAAATAATGCAGGTGTGCTTTGTTTGGTTCCTGCAGAGCCAGCAGCCTGTTCTGCATGGGAGGTATGGAGCAACGCCTGCCTGACATGAGAGTGGCCGTGTCCCCATCACTGTGAGTCAATGGGATGGGGGAGGAGATCTCAAATGTCAAACGGTGCTCTGCATCGCCATCAGCTGCTGAGTTCTCCCTCTTCACTTTGCCTTTGCAGCATGCACCATAAAGCAGTGGGGCTTCTCCTCCTGTTCCTCCACTCTTTTTGTTGTCAGAACATCACAGGGCAGCACGATGGGTGCGTGGACTGTTCTGGCCAGCAGATGTTCCTGGCAGGTAGGGGCAGGGCGGGCTGCTGACTGCCAGGATCACATGTAGGGGCTGGTTCTTTGGAGCCATGGGCATTTCTTGTGCCACGTGTGGGCTCTGCGGTTGCCAAGGACAGCTTGTGCTGGCCGTGGGCCTGATGAGCCCCTGCAGGATGGTAGTCACCCAAAAGCTGGTGTGCTCAGTGCCAACATGTGATGCTCTTGGTGCAAAAACCAGGAGGGAAAAAAAAGGAAGAAAAAATTCTTAAAAAAAAAAAAATCTGTCTCTCTGGAAGAGAACAAACCAAGAGGAGATGAAAGAGCCCATCGCCAGATGCAGATTCAAGCCTCCCTCCCCAAAGCCTGTTCTCCTCCTGCATGATGCCCTGCTGGGATGGCTCACAGGGCTGGGGCTGAAGCAGAAAAGCAGCTTCAGCAGACTGCAGATGGACACTGGGGGATTTTGCATCTCCACAGAAGTCCAAAATGGCCCATGGGCCACGCAGTAGCTGGTACTTGAGCCCAGAAGTTGTGGTCTATGCGACAGACTCCTGCTGGGCTGCAGAGCTTGCTGTGCCCCAGGAGAGCATTCCCTGCTCTGCACTGTGCTTCACCTGGAGTGCCTGTGTGCCTGTAGGCCTGGCAAGAGGTGGGCTGGGTAGGAAGCGAGTGTCAGAGCCAGAAGGATGCAAAAAGCCCTGCATTTCCAGGGCCCCTGCCATGGGAGGATTAGTGTAAAACCCACAGATTTCTCAATATTTTCCTGACCCAAAGTGCTGAGTTTGTTTTGCTGTGATTTATGGGATCCTGTTACTCGCTCTCTGTGAGTAGCGAGACGATCGCTGGGGATTTATTAAAAAACTTTCACAAGTCCCAGAACTCTGTCAAATTTTTGCATGAGTAATAATTTGCCTAAAAATTGGGAGGAGGAGGCAACTCGCTTGCTCCCTGCTGGTGGCTGTGTTGGTGGAAAGGCACGTGTCCTGGCCACCGACTCCTCTACAAAGCCAACGCTCTGCAAACACCCCAAGGCTGAGCTTCTTCATTCCCAGCTATTCAGTGTGGGGGACCGATGGATCTGCTACCAGAAAATCAAGTCCAGGTGCCAACAGTTTCTCTGCTCACTGATAGCAGAGTTGGTCCTCAGCCCCACTCGGAGCTGATGCACAGCTGATTTCCCACCACCTTCAGCTCCAGATAAACACCAAGCAGATTTGCATTGAAACAACATTGAGAAGAAATCCAAACCACGAAGGGAAGGAAATTCTTTTTTTATTTATTATTATTTTTTTTAATTCAGACTGAGCTTTTTTTGGTATGAGTCCTGGCAAACAAACGGCTGAGATCAGGTCCCAATTAGGCTCTTTTGGCCTCTGCGAGCGATGAGAAATGACCTAGCTGATTTCACTTCTTTCCCTGAGCTCCTTACAGAAAGCTTTTGCAATCCTGAGGTCTGGGGTTGAGATTTCACATGCTGAATTTCAATTTGTTGCTGCCTTGCTGCCCGTACGGCGGTGGTGGGTGTGAGCCAAACTTGTGCCCCCGACCCAGTGCCCCTTCCAGATTGCTGCTGGGATTCCCGACTCAGTGGGGCTGCTCCAGGACTCAGAGAGCTCCAGGGATGCTCTGGGAGCTGAGGTGGATGCTTGGCAGCTGCTTTCCTCCTCCATCAACACTAAAGCAGGCTGCTTGCCCAGAGATATTAGTATCGATATCAGTATCACATAGGCACTTAATGGTTTTAATGGGACTGTCACGTGCTTTGTTTCTCCAGGAAATGGACACTTGGCATTATCCTCACTAAATGTTACCTGGGGTGAGCACAGCATCCCTCAGACTTACTCCCTTTCCACTCCAAACTGCAGAACACAGTTGCTTTTAAACAGCAGCAGCAGAAGCGATGGCACTCTCCTGGTATCTGGATTGACTCCATGGGAAGGAATGTGAAAGCAACTGGATGAAAAGTGCCTGAGAAAGGAGGATGTGAGGGTTCTGTGCTAACCAAACCTCATCAGTGTGTCCATGCAGAGCCAGTGGCTGCCTGCAGCACGCAGCCCCATCCACGCACCGTGCCAGGAAATGCTGCGAGCCTATCGCAGATTCCTATTGGCAAAACAGGCCGAAGCAAGGCTACAAAATAAATAATCACTTTCATCTGAACTGCAGCAGAAGAGGCAATAAAATGAAATGAAAGCACTGAGCAAAGCTGTTGTGTCTAACAGGAATCCTGACCCCTGATCTCAGCTCCCCTCTTTTATGTTTTTCTGACTTCAGCACTATTGCGGGCAGATGCCTTTGAATATGATTTATTTGTTTGTCTTGGCATCCAAACAAGGAGCCCTGGGACCAGAAAATACGACGGAGAGCCCACTTCCGAGTTTCTCTTCCCTCTCAGCCCTGCTCACACTGCCCCGTGTGCCTCGGAGAGGCTCTGTGACACGGCACAGTGGGGGGAGAGGAGTACGCAACAATCATAGCCCTCAAACAATGCGCTGGGCTGGCCCTGGGCCCGCAGGGTTGGACTCCATTACTCCAACTGTCAGGGAAATGGGGCTGGACTCAGCAGAGGGACGTGCTCTATCCGAGCCCATCAGTGCATGCACCACGAGGGGCTGCTTTCCGCTCCTCTCCGAAGCCCATGGGCTGTGTGCTGTGGGAGCAGAGGCGCCGTCCCGCAGTCCCCGAGGAGCTGGGCTGATGCTGAGCTCTGCAGCACTGAGCCGCTCGGCATCGAGTGGGACGAGCGCTGCCGCAGGCTTTGGCCACGCAGTGCTATCAGAGAGGACTCCAAGAGCTTTTTGGTGTGCGTCCAAACGTCTTTGTGTTTCCCAGCTTTTTGCTGTTGGATTGCAGAGGACGATTTAAAGCCGGAGCCAAGTATCTACCAGAATGAAACAGTTTCACAAATTGTAAGGCCAAAGGGACCATTAGATTACGCAGTCCAACCTTCTGTACAAGACAAGCTAGCTCTACTCTGTCTCATTAGTGCCTTAATGCTTGCTGCAACCGCTTCCTTCTGCTGAGAGCCTCTTTCCCTTCCCAGCCCTTGTGGCCCCGCTGCTAGCTGGGCTGGGGGAACAAAGCCACCTCGGGCTGAGCCAAATGCTCCACTCTGTAACGGCTCCGTGTGCAGAGGGCTCTGCCGTGGGTCTTCCTCCCACCCTGGGTGTTTCTCATGCTCATCACACGGCCCATTGCTGATAACTGGGGTGGAGATTGGCTCTGCAGTGTGATTTGTGGACACAATGAGCTTAGTGCAGGCAGAAGGTTTGTGCTATTTAACCTCTGACTGCGAGGAAAACTTGGAGGCTTGGGGAAACTTGTGTTGCAGTGGCTGCAAGGCAGTGGGGCAGCGCATCTCCCCACAACAAAGATGTGAACACATCAGAGTACCTCAGCACTGCTCAAAGTACCCAATGCCCATCAGCCCCAAGAGCAAGCCTGCAGCTGGAAGCTGTGCCACAGAGCTGGGAAATGTGTATTTATTTCTCTTCCTCCCACCACATAGTGTCTCCTCTCAGCTGTGGAACGTGACGCTGAATTTTCTGCCTAGAATATGCTGCTCTGTTTGAACAGGTTTTTCTATTCCCCAATCACTCACCATCTCTGCTGCACAAGATTTATTGACTTTTATTTATTTATTTAGACTCAGTCATTTTTCATTTGGGACAGAGCAATGTGCCGAGTGAAGACGGCCTGGGAAGCCCTCTGTGTGAGTCACGACCCTAAGCCTTTGAGCTGCCTTGTTTCCTTTGGTTTAATCTCGTGCCTGCAGTAAACACATCGGACAAAGCTCTGCTTGTTCAGGGACGGCCGGGGCTGGAGATCCGTGGGGCCGGATAATGGGGCTGGGGGTGGGAAGGAGAGTGGGGCAGCCCTGCACTGTGGCTCAGGCTCCTCTCCCACTTCTCCAGTATTCTCCATGCCCTGGTGCTCCTGAGTTCCGGCTCTCCTGGCACTGTGGGCACGTTGGCCTACTTGAGGCACGGCACACTCACAAGCCTTACCTGATGCTGCTCATTCGTAGTCCATATGGGAAACAGAAGGGATGGCTCCCTGAGCTACAGTAGCTCTCCCAGCATTTCCCTCCAGCTCTCAGCCATGCATTTCCTTCCACGCTTGAGTGCCACCAGCAGCCTGCTGCTGAGCAGGGCCGGTGAGGGGGCTGTTGGGCTGCAGGAGCCATCGATGTCCCATTCCTCAGGCAGCAGAGAGGGGCTGGGAATGGCCCCATTGCTCCCACTGTGCATGACTGCTCTCATGGCTCTCTCAGCTCCCACAGCACTTGCCAGCCCCTTACACAAGCCTCCAGCCAGCACGCTCCACTCCCTTCTGTCAGAGCAGCTGCTGGTGGGGCTCTTCCAAAATGGTTGGCTGCTGGCAAGGAGCTCACGCTGGAGGAGCCTGCTCCAGATGTGCACAGCTGTGTGCATGCTGCTGCTGTGCCGGCCTCGCACTGTGCCAGGCTGCCTATGGAGGAACACAGAGCAGGTCTGCTGGGCCACTGTCACCTCCATGCATGTGGTGGAGTTGTGGG